GCTGTACAAATGCTGGTTTACTTGTGCCAAAAATAAAGGCCAGCACCCTCCTGTGGCAAAAGAGCAGCAAGAAGCAGGAAGACGGCAAGAGAAAGGAAGGGAAGAAGGACACAACGAAGCAAAAGAAGATCAAGAACAGCAAGAAACAAAATCACAACGTCGAGGAGAAGAACCAGAAGGATGTGTAGGAGGAAAAGAAGAAAGAGCAGCAGGAGGCGAAAAAGAAGCAGGAAGACAGCAAGAGGAAGGAAAGGAAGAAGCAAAAGAAGAAGAAGAAACAAGAGAACAACGTCGAGGAGAACAAGAAGGGCGAGGCGAAAGAGCAGAAGGGAGAGTTGGAGTAAATTCATCACAACGAGGAGAAGAAGAAGGAGAAGGCAAAGGAAAGAAAATGGATGAAGAGGACGTCGACGAGGAATATACCAGAAAATACCAGAATATGAACGCTGGCACCAGCATTAAACTTAGCCTTAGACTGGTTATATTAAAAGTTTTAAAGTTTTGAATGGGTTTACATTGTTATTCGTGGGGCTGTATACCTCATACACATCAGGATTAGGAAACGACACCGGAAAACGACTGCGAGAAGTCTAGTCTATTATTAAAGTGCCTATGCACCCTGGCCAAGTCCGCTAATATGCTAGCACGACATAGCGCTCGTGCACTAGTACGATAAAACGCTTAGTAAGGAAGAACATTAGAAAGAAGGAACAATAGTACTCTATAGTATGCTATTGCTGACTAGCACGCTAGAACGACAGAACGCTAGTACACTAGTACGCTAGTATGATAGAAAGTAGTTAGGCTAGCACGCCGGTAGGCTAGAACGCCAGAACTAGAACACTTAACATTACAAAGTGCGGTTGACGTAAGAACGTTAGACGCCGTACCATGAAGAATAGACGAAAACGAAGGATTTAACAAACACCATATGTATCCTTCACAGTTTGTCCCTTAAATACATAAACTTGAACAATTATCCATCCGCAACCGGATACATTGATGTTTGAGCAAAACATGCACAGTGATTCCAGTCTTTTGGAAATTGAAATCTGATGCAAAGGGTACAAAATATATGGAGATTCTAAAAAAGTGCTAATCCTTCACAATGGATCTAATCGGCTACCAAATCCTGGAGAGAAAAAAAACACTTTTGTTTCTAAGAATTCAACTGTGAAATGAAACGCTTGTAACAACACTTGTCGAGTAATTATCACCAGACTTTTTTACCATTTTCTACACTCAATTTATTTATTTATACACATTTCTATTACTGAGATTCGAGAAATTGTTATCAATCATCGTAATTCCATAGAGTTCTTTTATGATTTCTGTCTTTTTTCATTTACGGTTCCATGCGTGGGTGTTGGCAATCATCACCTTTCTCTTGGGCTTCCTGTGTCATTGGACATAAGTGCGACATAATAGATTCATAGACAGATAAATAGATAGATTGGAAAAAAGGGTAAAATTAAAGTTGGGCCACTTCGGGTAGATCAACTATGAAATCCTAACAAAGTGCCAGTTCTTCACAATTTGCTTGTATAAAACACTTTCCATCCGCAACCGGATGTATTTCTACGTAAAGTATAAGCAATGCATTGTAGGATATGTTTGGGACAGAACATGGCGGATTTCTTTTGTTTTCTTTAGAAACGGATCCCACAATGCATTGAAAATTAAGTAGTGACGTAAAAGGTTCTGAAGTCTATTAATATACGAGTATGAGGACAAGTAAATGTTTTCAAGTTTCGCGTCAAGAACTTGTCTCGAGACGAGTTGACGGTAGGAAAACTTGCTATTTATGAACAAGTAACTTAGTGTGAATACGGTCATTTCAGTGACAAGTGCAGTGTGACAATAATGTGCGATGTCTTGGCAGTGTCCAAAGGGTTTGATGGATGCTCAAAAGTCCATGCTTAATTTTTCCCGACTTAAAACGTGCCCGTTCAATTGATGTAATCTTATCTTTTTTTCAGTCGAAAAACAGAATAACGATTCAAGACGTTTTGATCCTGACGCCAAGTGTCCTCATAATGAGGTCCTGTACAATGTGAAACTAAAGGTGGGACTCCATGCTGGGAAATTCACCGATAATGGAAAATAAATTTTAAATAGACCGTTTCTTTTTTGAGAATGAATATTTGCGTTGTTCTTCTTTCTAAATACTACATTTTGCTTATTGACACACTGTTGACGTCATGAAATTAATTGTTC